TTAAAGCTACACCCTAACCCTAAGTTTTAATTAAGGTGGTTATTTCTAACCAATGGCACAGGTTATAATAATTCTAATATATTGTATCTAAAGTTGTTAGTGAAACTAAATTATGCTAATAAAACTAATAACTATTTAAAATCTAATTGGCTATTGTACTTAATAGTTAATCAAATTTTAGATAATTACTAGTTTTACTAGCAACTCTAGTTATATTTAAGTAAAATATAGTAGTTTAATAGTCTATTTTGATTACAAGTAAAAGTTTTAGCAACTATAAAATAAAACTAGATAAGTTTTATTTTTAGTTAAAATAGATAAACTATAACTAATATATACTATATTTTTTCTATAATATGCTAGCTTCAAAAATAAACTACTCCTTCTATTGCTTAAAAAACTTAAAAATATCTTTTACTCTAAAATAAGCTATCTAGATATAATTACTTTTTTTTTCAGTATTAAGATAAGGTCTTGCCTCGTATCTTTATTAGATATTTATCAAGTATTTGCCTTATATAGCTATATATTTATCTTGAGAATATAGACTTAGACAATTTTATCTATGATCTAAATCTACCAGAGTATGTTATGTTCTCACCACATATTGGGTTATACCTGGATTTGATGTTCAGACTATATCTAGTTACCTACCATACACCACTAACTAAAGTATCCCAAGTACTATTCAATCAACCACTGAATTTCTTGAATAGTACCCTCCCAGGTACTAATCATGGAGGAGAATACAAAAAAAGGGGGTACTTTGTAAAGGGTATACTATAATTGGAAGATACTTTAAATCTTCAATTAGATAAATTTAAAGTGATATAAAAATTTTACTTTTAAAGTAATAAAGAACATACTTGACTATAATAAATATATAGGTACATATGTACAAATTTTTTTCTTTATTTAACTATGATACGTGGAAACAAAAATTGTAGACAGGCTCAGATTACTGAAAAAAAAAGGTGATATTGAAATGTTTGTGAAAAGCTTACAATTATTATATTCTTAGAAAAGTACCCAAATAAAAGTATTCATGCAACTGCTACAAACTTTAATGTAGAACCAAAACAGATTAGAGATTAAAAAAAAAAGAAAGAAGAATTGATACGTACTTTATTTCATATTAAAAAACTGAATCAAGAAAGACTACCAAAATTTCCTGAGTTAGAAAAAGATATTTATAATTGGGTAAAAAACTTGCAAAATTTGCAAAAACCTATAACACGATCAATGATTCAGGTTAAAGCTAAAATATTATCCAAAAAAGCATCTTATACTAATCTCTATCCTAATATTGCAACAAACAAATTTTCAGACAAATGGATTGATAACTTTATGACTTGTTATAAATTAAGCAATAGACGTAGAACAACTGTAGCTCAAAAACTTTCTAATAATTTACAATCTGCACTTCAAGAATTTTTAAATTTAATTATATATCGTAGAATTCAATTTGACTATTCTTTTTTTTAAATAGGTAATATAGATGAGGTTCCTATATTATTTGATTTTGCTAGTAATATGATAGGTGATGATCATGATACATATACTGTTTTAATAAGAACTTCTGGTCATGACAAGTCAAATTTTACTGTTGTATTTACTTGTTTAGCAGATAGTACCAAATTACCACCTGTTATTATTTTCAAATTAATGAATGTTCCCCAACAAACATTTTCTACAGGAGTATTTATTTGTGCAAATGCTAGTAGATGGATGAATGAGTATAAGATGATATGGTGAATTGAGAATGTATAGAATCTTAGAGAAAGAACTGATTCACGTTCTCTTTTAGTTTTAAATTCATTTAAAGGACATACTGTAGATTCAGTTAAAAGATATTTTTTTGAAAAAAATAATAATTTAGCTATAATTCCAGGAGGTTTGACTTCAAAATTACAACTATTAGATATTGCTGTCAATAGATCATTTAAAGCAAAGGTAAATTTTTTTTTTAAGTTAAAAGTTTTTAAATTTTATTTATTTATTATATATAAATTTTATTTATTTATTATATTTAAATTTTATTTCTTTATTATATTTAAATTTTATTTCTTTATGTTTTAAATTTTTATGCAGCAGTATTATGATAGATAGTTAGAAAATGGTGTTTTAAATTACACTAAAACAGGTCATATTCAATGCCTACATATAACTTGGTTACTCAGTAGATACTTCAGGTGTAAATGATATTAGTTCTATTCTTATTCGGAAAGCTTTTAAGTGCTGTGGTATATCTAATGCATGAGATAATACAGAAGACCACTTGGTTTTTGACTATGATCAACTTGATTAACATACAAACCCACGAAATTACATATATATACAAAATGAGTTTGAAAATAATGGTAAAAGCTCAAGTACAAATATCAGTAAAGATTTAAGCACTAATGTTGGTGAAGGTTCAAGCATGAATATTGATGAAAGTTTAAGTACAAACAATTGTGAGAGTTTAAGTATAAATATTGGTGAAAACCAAACTATTGGTAAATTTAAATATTAATATCATTTAAGATTTTAGCTTGAAAGTTTTATTATAAATTTAATGAACAATACTAATAAATTTTAAGTTTTAATTCTTTAGAGGTAATTAATCTTATGAGTGAAGACGAAGCTAAAAATGAATTCAACTTTATTCGTGAAAATGAATTTAACTCTATTCATGAAAATGAAACAAATTTTGTTCATGAAAATGAAGATGATTATTATAGAATAGAGGAAGTTAATTGTATTAACGATTAGACATAATATCGGTTAAAACCAAAGATAAATTTTAATAATATTATATAGAAGCTTTTTGTATATTATATAATATAATTTTAATATTTATTAGGTATATACTACTGCATCAGAAGATATAGATACTTAAATTTTGTGGTATAATGGGCAATAAAAGAAGCAATTACAAGTTTAAACCATCAAGAAGCAATGTATTGAAAAAAAAAAAAAAATTATATGAGTCTTTTTTTTTTTTTTTATCTTGGTATAAAGTAATTTATTGTAATAGAGCAAAGCAAATGGTGTTATAAATTAGAACAAGCATGTGAAATTAAGACTGTATGGCTTTTGTATAGTTTATAAAAAACTTCAGAATATGTAATTAGTATTATATAAATAAATTAGTAAAGATTCGAATATTAAATAAATTGTTTCTATAAGAAAAACTTCAGGTAAAATAAGTAAAAAATTTTGATATTTCTTTAATCACATTTATGCTTTCATTCTTTAACTAGAATATCTATAAAAATATTACTCATGATACAAATGAATTATACCTGAGTCGTATTCAATTTTCTGAAATCTGATTTTATGAATAGTACTTGGATCTTTTTTATAAGGGTATTATGGCAGAGGGATACTTTAGTCAGTAGCGTATAGTACTATATTCACCCTATGTCTCATCATCAAACCTTAGTAACTCCCAAATTGGTTTATTCAGGTAATTGGTCCTTAATAGCCTCCTAATTTGGTATGCCTATTATTTGAAGTATTTTCTAAACTGGTATATTTTTTCTAATAAGTGGCCTCCTGTTCATATTTTTTAAGCAGGTACCTGCTGCTGCTGCTAGTCCCAGATGAAAAGCATTGGTATTATATATTGAAAAGAAAACTTATCGTAAGTTTGTATTACTCAGTTCATATGATACTTCATTTAAGTGATTATATCATATTATCTACTAGCTTGCATTCTTTTATACTACTTAAAGTTATATGAATACCCCAAACCTTCTACTTGTATCCCAAGTATATTAGCCTCGTATCTCAAGCCAGATTCTTTCTGCCACCATCCGGTTTGCTATCTCCAGGTCTTAACATTTTCTAAGTTATCTGATGCAGTGTACTTCTTACTACTCTCTAAGTACTCCCTTATATAATATTCGTTAGAACTATAGTTCGTAAGGACCCTCTGAGTTATATAGCAACTACAGTACTATATACTCCTAGCTATTAGTTATTTTCATAATTCTGCTTTAATGACCTATCTTGTTAAAGACTAGCCTAACGCCACGAAATTACTTAAATAGCAAACTAAATCACTTCTAGCTATTTCTAGTTAGTATTGCATTAATGTTAATAAATCCTAACTCTTTTTCATCATAGACTTCTATATGGGTATAACTAGAGCTCTGAATTGGTATTTTTAGATATACAGGAGTAGGCTACATTCTCTACACCAAGTAGCTTTCTATAGTCATTTCACAGGTGCTTTCAATTTCAGTTAAGACATAATCTTTTAACACAGCCCATAGTTGTGTATCACCACTTCTCTCACTACTCTAGTTTTGGTAATATAGTATCACTCTTCCAAGCAAATATCTAATACTATTCTATATTAGGACTTATGCACACAATCAATTGATCATCCTTCCAAGCAAGTACTCTACAAGTTGGATATAGAGATATTGGTATTGCCAAATATGAAGATGATAGGATATTGGTATTGCCTCTAAGTCACCCCAACCAGAGGACTTACAAGCACAATCTTCTACAATTTAGACCTTTTGTGATGCTACTGTCACATATAGTGCCTTCACTTCACAACCTGGTCTTCTTTTAGAAACTTCTTTATTCTGGTTTCGTACTGCACTTGGACTTTTCACAGGGCTTTGTATCCAATTATGGCCCTATAAGTTATAGAAACAAATTTTATTAAAATTTGTCTCTAGCTTGACTCAAACTGTTGACCTAGTCTATGAGAGTTTGAGAGCTTAACTAATAAGCTATGGGACCCAAATCCTTAGATATAATTACTATTAGTTGCTATATATAAAAGTATATATATATATAATAATTAATAGTAATTAATTAAAATTCTTAAAAATCTATTATACTCAAAAATAAGCTACTTTTGATTTTTAAGCTTAAAATTGCTAAAAAAAATAGCTTATTTTGAAGAAAATATAGTATTTTTATGATAGTTAAATTTTTTTTTAAATAAAATAAACAAAATTATTTAAAAAAAATAGCTTAAAAATATTATAATACTTTAAGAAAGAATTTATTTGTTGTTGGTAATGACAACCTAGACCAATTAGATTGCATAATTCAAAATTCTTAAAATTTTAAATTAAAATAACTTAAAATTATATCTATAAAATCAACTTCTATATTTTAACAAAAAATATTTTTTATAAAGAAAATCTCTTCCTGATGATTACTTATATCAACCAGTTTCTGAAAGCAAATTGAAGACTCAAAATTAGAAGTAAACAAATTACTATACTTAAAGTTTTCTTAATATGAACTGTTGTTGATAAAGTTTTAAACATGATATACTAAGTAGCAAATGTTTTGAATGATTTGTAAAGAGATCAAATCTTGTTTTCTTCTCTTGTTAGATAGACTTCCTTTTGTATTTAGTATCCAAACCAGAGAAGTCTCTGGAAATAGTAAGTAAAAAGAAGACTCAAATTAGTTTAAAAACAGAAGGCTATGAAAAACTCCTGAAACAACACTTCTTGGTTAAAAAACTTGCAAAACTATAATATTTCTTTATTACTTTCTTTTTTTAAAATTTTTATCAAAAAGTGGGGATTTGGCTATCCTCTCCAAAAGATCAGTATTGTTTATCACTTCTATTTTAGAAAATCTCAAGTTATGATATAACAGATAAGAAACACAACAATTATTTATAAGGAGAAAATTTTGTTTTGATTAAATCAAAGTATATAAAGAAAGTTCTGTATTTAAATTGGCTTTGACTATCAAAAATAAAAGCTCTATATAACAAATCTGAAGAAGTAGTTTTCAATAATACTAGTTAACCATAGAAAAGATTCTCTGCTTAATCTTGTATAATATAGAAACAAGGTTTAAAGTGAAAAACTATAAGAGAACTAGCTTTAAAAAAGTAATCTAGTAAAAATAAAATTGTTAATTAGATGTTAAGACTTTAAAATTAATATTCTAGAATTTGAGATAAATTTAAATAAAAATTGCAAGTTAGAGCAATATATTAAAAATATGCTATATTTCTAAATCATAAGCATATAATTTTTAGTTCTTAGTACAGATTAAAGTACATTTTAGTTTATAATTTTTTTTGTTAGATAGCTCTATATATAGATTTTTATGACCATGTAGATAATTTTTTATCTGGTTAGCAAATATTATATCTATAGACAAGTTTTTTTAAATTTAGAATAGTTTTTAGATTCTTTTAGAGACGTGACAAAAATCAGGTGATTTTTTAGAGAAGGAGAAGGTAAAAAAAGTTAAAATTATATATAAGAACCTGATTTTTTTTTATATTAAGAGGAGGGAGGGGGAGTAAGCCTCTGATAAAAATAATCAGGTAATAAATGATACTGCCTTTATATATTGGTTATTTTTTTATATATTTGTTTTTTTTACTTTTCCTATTTTCATTTTACTATTATCTCTCTTTTTTTTTTTTACTTTTCTATAAGAAAGTATTATTAGATTGGTAGCACTCTATTGTAGAGTAGTGATTCTAAAAAGATCAGTAAAAGCTATTTGTTGATATCTGAAACTTATATTCTCAGAAAGTTGAAGATTTTGAAAAAAAAATTGTTTGCTTAGATGGGTTGCTTCTGAGTTATACTCTAGCGTAAATTTAGTGTTTATTTTATTTTTATTGCAATAATAAGACAAATCAAGAGAATCATTATTTTTATAGAAATATAGTAATATTAATAATTTGTATAAGAATATTTCTGTAATTTACTTCTAATTAATAAAATAAAAATAGGATTGAAAAATAAAAAAAATTTTTTATATAATTTTATTATATATTATAATAATTTCTGGTCTTAAATATAGTTTTAAATAAAATCTAATACTATTATTACTAGTGACAAGTAGATTATTTTATACTTTAATATATTTTTAAAAAAATAATATTTAATAAAGATAAAAAGAGAAAATTATAATATATAACTATTTTTAATAATATTTTATTAATTTTAAACTTTTTTTAATGATTTTTGATTAATAACAAAAAAAAACTGAACTATAGTTAACAATATAAAAAAGTAAAAAAATAAATATAAAAATACTTTTGTACTATACAAACAAACTTGCTATTAATAAAGTTTATATATATGAAATACTAAGAAGCAAGTATATAACAAAAGCAAATTGGTACTTTGAGTCAAGCTTCTCTTTTATAAACTGTTATCAATAAAGTTCTTAAATATAATATATAAAGGTACTGATATTGTGGATAGTTTGCACAAAGATTAAGCCTAGTTTTAATTTGCAAATAGACTTTCTTATATATAGTCGACTCCTTCTAAACACATCTTGTTGGGACCAGACTTTTAGCAACATATATTAAGAGAACAATTAAGAAAAATGCATTTATAGAGATCAAATATATATATAGGCTCAGAATTTAAATCTGCATTTAGAGAGAAAATGTATTTAAAGAACATGCATTTAGAGAGAGTTAACTGTATTTAGTATCTAAATTAGAGAAGTCTCTAAAAATAGTAAAAAGAAATAAAATAAACTTCTTTATACTTTTGATATCCAAACCAAAAGAATATTTTAAAAGCAATATTACTATAGATCTCTAAACAAGAATATTTAGTAGAAACTAAGAAACTAGACTATATAACTATAAAAGTTACAAGAAGAACTTCATATACTCTTATTGGTTTATCACTTTTTTTCAAAAAAATTTTTGTAAAAAGTAAATATTTTAGTTTATCTTCTCCAAAAAATTAACATTATATGTACCAAAAAATAGTTAGCATTATTTACTTTCTAAATTAATATAACAGGATAACAAATATATTAAAGTATATATCTTGAATATAACAATCTGATCAAACAATACTTTAAGACTAGAATTGAGTACTAACCCTCTACATATTTTGGTCAAAGAAGTATTTTTTTTATTGGTTTTAAACTTTTATATACTATTTAGATAAATATAGAATAGAGATTATTTTGTTTAGTTGTATATAATTTTTAAAGCTTTTCACAGATTTATAAATATAATATTAGAATAGACAAATTCTTTTTCTTTTTTCTTATTATTCTTTTACCCCTTTCTCTTCTTGCTTATATATTTTATTGCTATTCTCTATATCTCTATATATATATTTTTTTTATCTGTGCTTTCTTTAATTTGGCTTCTTAACAAAGTAATATAGCTGCTCCACTAATAATTAATGAGTTCAATATAAAGTACAATTGCTGCTAAGTAGTATTATATCTGGGCCTTAGATTGAGTAAGTCTTTATAAATAAGAATATAGTATAGAAAGTTTTGTATACTTGTTAGCAATAATTTTTTAATACTTCTAATAAAGTAATAAAAGCAGAACTGCTAAATTAAAAAAAATTAAAAATTAATTTGATCTTTTTTATTTAATAAATAAAAATATATATTTTTTTTGCTTCAGTGATTCTACTTTTATTTTATAAGTCAAAAATAAATTACAAATATGCTCTCAGCTATTAAACCTATATGTATATTCCAAATTACTATATTTTTGTATAAATAAAGATTCTCTTAATCTGGTTTATTATTGTAATAAAAATAAAGTAAACTCTAAATTTACACTAGAGTATGACCCAGGAGTGATCTGTCTAAGTAAACAATTTTTCTTTTTCTGAGATCCTTAATTTTTTAAGGATATGAGCCCCAAATATTAACAAATAGCTTTTGCTTATCTTGTTAAAATCACTGCTTTATAATAGGGTGCTGCTAATCTAATAATATTTTCTTGTAGAGAAGTAAAAAAAAAAAAAAAGAGGTAAGAATAAAATGAAAATAAAAAAAGTAAAAAAAATAAATATATAAGAAAATAATTAACATATAAAAAAATCTAAAAACTATTCTAAAATCTAAGAGAACTTGTTTATAGATATAAAACTTGCTAACCAAGTAAAAAAATTATCTATATAGTCATAGAAATCTATATATAAAGCTATCTGACAAAAAGAAACTATATACTAAAATGCACTTTAACTTGTGCTAAAGGCCAAAAATTATATACCTATGACATCAAAATATAGCATATCTTTGATATATTGCTCTAACTTACAACTTTTATTTAAATTTATCTTGAATTCTAAAATGCTGATTTTAAAGCCTCGATATATAATCATTGATTCTATTTTTACCAGGCTGCTCTTTTTAAGCTAGTCTTCTTAAAGTTCTTTATTTTGAACCTTGTTTTTATATTATACAAGATTAAACAGAGAGATTTATCTATAGTCAACTAGTATTATTAAAAGCTACTTTCTTAGATTTGTTGCATAGAGTCTTTATTCCTGATAGTCAAAACCAATTCAAACACAAGACCTTCATTATGTATTTCAATTTAACCAAAATAAAAATTTTTTCTCAATATATAATTGTTATATTTCTTATTCATCATATCATAACTCAAGACTTTTTAAAAATAGAAGTGGTAAACAATACTAATCTTTTGGAAAAATTAGCCAAATTCTCTATTTTTTGATAAAAATTATAAAAAAAAGAGTAGCAAAGAAATATTAAAGTTTTGCAAGTTTTTTAATCAAAAAGTATTATTCCAAGAGTTTTTATAGCCTTTAGTTCTAAACTAACTTAAGTCTTCTTTCTACTTACTGTTCTTAAAGACTTCTCTGGTTTGAATGCCAAATACAAAAGAGAGTTTACTTCAAAAAAAAAGAGAAAAAGGCTTGGCTCCTTTGCAAACTGTCCAAAATGCTGCTTCTTAATATATCACATTTAAAACTTTATTAACAATAGTTCGTATTAAGAAAATTTCAAGTTATTTGTTAACTTCTTGACTTAAATCTTTAACTTGCTTTCAAAAATAGGTTGATACAAGTAATTGTTAAAGAGAGTTGTTAGAAGCTTGTTTTGTATTTTAAAAAATAGAACTATTTTTATATTAAAATTTATTATTAATAATATTATTTTTTTAAATTTTTTTTTTTTTAACAATATTGAATAATCATACTACTGTAGTAACCTATATTTATTTAAGTTTTGTTACTATCGATAGCAATTAACAATAAATATGTAATTTGATATTATATAGCTGTTTTAATAAGTATTTATGTATAGCTAACCTTACTAGTAAAGCAAATTATCTATCTAAAATTTTGTTCAAAAAAGAAAAACTATATAGAAAAAAAATAAAAATACAGAAGTATAAAAGAGAACAATAAAAGTAAATATATATAAGAAAATAAAAAAAGAGAAAAAAACTACTAAAAAAAAGAAAACAAAGGACAATCTACTATGAACAATTACTATTATAAACCTGTATTAAGCTTGATAAAAACTATATACTATTATCTAAACTAGTTTCTACTCTAAATTTATATAATTAATATATCTAAATAAAAACTACAAAGGAAAAAAACTTTTTAATACTAGTACTATAGAGAAATTAAAATTTTATACTGAAATCATGAGATATTCAAGATATATAATTTATATATTTAGCTCATATATATTTATATATTTGTTGTAACAGGATAAATCTAAATAATATTAACTATTTTAATAAGTAGTATATTAATCTTTTGAAGAAGGTAAGCTAAATTATTTACTTTTTACAAAATTTTTTCTAAAAAAAAAGTAAAGGTCAACAAGACTATATAAAATTCTTTTATAAGTTGTATAGATAATTTCTCAAGTCAAAACTATTTTAGCAAGTATTTAATCACTACTTGTTTCTAAAATAAATTTTTTAGTTTGGATATCAAATATCTTGAGAAGTCTGTTAAGCAAATAACCAAACTTGACTCTAAGAAAAACTGTTTAAATTATACTTGCTTCTTAGTATTTCATGTCTTTTAAATTTTATCAATAGCAATTTGCTTAAAATTAAAAATAGCTCTCAGAATAAACCTTCTAGTTTGAATATCAAATATCTTAAAAAGTAAATATAAAAACAAAAAAACTTGACTCCAAAAAAAACTATCCAAGTTACACTTGCTCTTTAGTATTTTATATCTTTAAACTTTGTTGATAATTACTTTACTCAAAAGCAGAACTAAAAATAATATTAACTTAGACCTTTCTATAATATTTTTTTGTAGTTTAGTTTTTTGTTATATTGACTAAAAGATCATTAAAAAGAATTTTTTGTTAAATTTTATTTTTTATTTGCTATAGTTAATATTAAAATATATTATTATTTGAATTAATACAAATATTTTAATATTATTAAAACTTTATCTCTAATTTCTGAATTAACTTTTTGATATTCATATACAAGATATATTTTGAGTTATTTGTTTTAACAATATTTTAGTATTTATTACCAAATAAGCATATTGTGAAATAATATTTTTTTAGATATTTTATTTTTTTTTTCTATATATACTTTACTAAGAGAATATTTATTTATATTTTTTTTAACTAAAGATTTTTTTAATATTATTTTTTATTTAAAAAAAAATTTTAAAACAATTATCAAACAATTTTTATTTTAAAATATTTAATTTTATTTATTATTTTTTTTAAGAATTTTAATTATTATATAATACTTTATTTAAAATTTTAATTCTTGTATATAGTAAAGGTTTTAATTAGATTTAATTTTAATTAACCTTTCAACCAAAGTTTTAATTTTACAAATAATTATCCTAAATTGAAAATTGATAAAATTTAAGACAAAACTAGGTCTGAAAGCTTAAAAAGTTTGGTTACATGTATACTACCCAACTAATAGGCTAAAATTAATCTGTATTACAATATTGTAGTAACTTGTAGCATCTTATCTAACACTATAACAACCAGTAATTTTTAATAAAAAAAATTTAGATAAGTTAAATATAGGCATCAAAAGAAAACCAGACTTTGTAAATTTAATTATTTATTGTTTGCTAAACTCAGTTCTAATTAGAGACATATGTGAGATATAAAAAAATTTAATTACGTGACATATATGTGTCGTCAAAGTTGAATATGATAAATGATAAATAATAAAAATCTTAAAAGCTCGAAGTTTAGTTTTCTATGTCATATATATGTTTTTAATATCTAATTTTTAAAGATATTAATTAATACTAATAAATTATTACAATTCACAATTCTCCAGTTTATTTTTAATATTATCCCCTAGTCAACCCCATCTATGTATCTTTTTTCATATACTTATTATAGATACAGACTTTTGTTAAAGTTATAATGTCAATTAGACATAACTCAATGACATTATGACATGGCAAAAAGCCTTAACGACGTATACCATAACATTTGACCTGTACCATAACATTTGACTTTTGTATAAATACCTGACTTATATAGTAAAACTTGACTTATGTCATAACATCCAACTTATGCCATAACATATGACTTATGCCGTAACATATAACTTATATCGTACATGCAACTTATACTGTAATATACGACTTATGCTATAATATTTGTTTACGTAGCCATTACATTTTTACTTATCCCTATAGTGCAAAAATCATTTCAATGCTATGAAAATAAATTTTAATTTTTTTTCTCTGATTTGTAGTATTTGTATGAAAAAATTTATGTACAAAGAATTTATACTTTCTATGAAATTAACCAATTATTATAACAATAGTATTGGTATAGATTTCAATAATACATACAAAGTTTTTAAAACAAAAAAATGACTAGCAAAAATGAAATGCCAAGATGAAAACAAATATTTTCATGATATAAAAAGTAATACACAATATATTTAATCTATAGACTTATATGGTTTAAACTTCAATGATTATTGTATCATAAAAATAAGTGATTTCATGATTTGTCAAAAACTTCCAATGAATTTGTCCATAAGTAATCCTTTATACCTGCTGAAGACAGAAGAGAACAGTTACATCAGAAGCAATTAAAGTTCAAATATTAAATTACAGTAGACCCTGAATATAACGAACTCAACAGTTTGGTATAGAAAGTGCTATGATTCTATAATGAACTTTGGATCTCTTGCAATATAGGTGATATCTATTCTAAATTAATTGATTAATAATGTATTTTATTAATGGTATCACCTATACTGCAAGAGATCCTAACCTTTTTTTTTTCAGAATCATTGATCGCTATAGAAAGAGTTGACTATTAAAAAATATTCAATTACCTAGTTCTCTAACTTATCATTCAGAATAGTATCGACAAGATTTTCAGGGCTAAAATTCATATTACCCACAATGATGTTTTTATTATTATTGCTTGGATTATTATTTGAAATTTCATATGATACAATATCCCTATCTTGGAAGATTAGATCTCTTAAATTAACAATATCCTCCAAAATTAAGTTAGTATGAGTTAAAACATTTTGACTATTATAAATTGTATTAATACTTTTATTTATTTCCTCATTATCAATAAAATTATTTATTGATATGAGGTTCACCATATCACGAAGTTCTGATTCAGATAACTTAACTTCAAAATATGCAAGTTCTTTACATATATTTGGCATATAGTGTGTCTTATTTTTGTCATTTCTTCAAGTTTTTTGATATCAAGATGTAGACGCTTTTCTCTAATAACCTATTTGAGAACCGAAAAATTTTGCTCACAGCTAGCTTGAGATGAGGAGACACTAAAAAGCTTTAGTGCAAGTTCTGACAAATGAGATGGTCAGCTTTTCATAGACCTCCACCATAACATTGGGTATCAAGACCTTGGATGTATAGTAAATCATATGGGTTTTTTTTGCATCGTAGTACTGAAATTGTAAAATTAATTCTTTGCAATCTTGTTCAGAATACAAAGAATTTTTTCATAAAGTAAAGGCAGTTATAGCAGCATTACGAAATGCTTCATTTTTAAGCCCTGCTTTTAAAAAATAAATAAATAATTAATATATATATTATTAAAACTAATACTATATAACGATCGATATTAAATGAATATCATGATATAGAGGATGTAGGTAGTAACATAGTAAATAATATGGATTCTGAAATTTCTCGTAATGTTTGTTGAAGACTTGAATTGCAACAGGTTTAAACGAGATTGATGCAAGAATTTGATAGATTGCAATTGCTAATTTAATCATATAAATATAGCAATCAGATAATGATGCTAAACGACTTTCCAAAACATTTATGCAGATTTTAATCAGTTTCCAAATAGAGCAAATTTGTCAACATATAATAAAAAAGTTATCATCATGTAACAGATCAAAAATTTCCATATTTGTAATTTTACTTTGATGCTTACATAGAATCTACGTATATAATATATGTACATATAATTTATAATTAATATACAACTTTATTTTTTTTAAAAAAAAAACTACATACCCAATCAAAAACAAGACGCACAATTAATATGAAGTTTGTAGTATTGTATAATGATCTCCAACAAGTTGGACACTATGATTCTAGACTATCAGATTTAATTTTCATATTTGTAAGTCCTTGTTGTAATAATGCTAATTTTTAGGATGACTTATTAAAGAATTTTATTAATTTTCCACAGCAACTAATAAATTCTTTTATTTCAACATGCTTTGACAAGTCCATGGCTATCAAATTGATGGCGTGAGCAATACAGCGGATATTCAGGATATGTGGATATTTTTGCTGTACTTTTTCTCTTGCGACTCTACAATTCGAGGCTAAATCTGTGACAATTGCTGAGAATTTTTTTGGCCCAATTTGTTCGATAATATCCAAAATCTCTGAAGCCAAAAAATCACCGGTATGTGATTCTGAAGAATAATTTTTTAACACGATCAAATATTCTTTTCACTCCATTGTCGTAATAATGTAATTATAAATGGATTCTCCATGTTTTGATGTCCATCCATCAAGAACTACAGTATATGCATAAAAAAAAATACAATTAATTAATAATAATAATATATAAATTGTTATCGCTTAATTTCTTGAAAGTTAGATCCTTTACAGGCTATTTACCCGACATCACATAGGGTTATAATTAGTGTTTGATTAGTTACATATTTATATTTTTAGCAAATTGTCACTCTGTGTAATGTCAGGTAGAAGAAATAAACTTAAAACTTGAGGCAAGACCGGAATGTGTTATGCTAATTAATCATCATCACCAATATTAAATCGATTTTAATCGTTAGGGTCAGATTGAAGGAGTTAGAAAGGGGATTTAGCCAAAACTTAATCCAGAATTATGAGTAGAATTTTTTTTCTTAGAGCACCAAGAGCAGGTTCATAGGCAAAATTTTGAGATAGAAAAAATTTTTTCTTAATTTTGTCGATCAACATGTCACACATTCCGGACTTGCAAACCCGAGTTACACATCTAAAAAAAATTACTGCTAACATTAAGGTTACAGTTTGATGTATTTTTATTTTAATTGTTATAACTGCTCTTGAATTTAATTTGACCAGATTGTCAAATTTTTTAGAGTAACGATACTAAGTAGTTAATAACTTTCAAAAAACTATGCCATAACTTATATAAATAAAGCTTTGCTAAAAATCAAAAATTGTATAAGAAAACACATTTACTTAATGTTAGATTCTCAATGTTTTCTAACTCGTCATTAATAGCATTTTGCACACGTGCAAACTCCTTATCTAACAACCGTTCAGATAGTGTTGTATATGATGGTAATGTATAGGCAGGATTGTGTGCTTTAAACAGACTTTTAATAAAAGAATTTTCAACTACTTCAAAAGCGATATTGGCCATTATCCAAGCCTTTAGAAGAAGTTCATCATAGTAATTATTAACTTGTGAAGGCAAATTTGGATTTAATTGTGAATTTCTTCTATAAGTATTATTTTCTTCCGCAAGTTTATTACACCAGTATTTTTGAATCTCTTCAGGTACTTTTGGGCAATGAATTGCAAGATGAGTTTTTAAAATTTGCGGTTTACCCCTTGGCTAGTGATGATTACAATGAGAACATGTAGCTTCATAGTGCCCTGGATTTACTTGTACGCCTTTAGTCACATAACTCCATACTTCATGAAAACTAGGGCCACCTTTTCTAGCTCTTTTAGATCGTGAACCCGATTCTGTTGATGCCAAAATATCGTCTTCATAGATTTCACTGTCATCCAAAGGCATGTCACTATGTGAGGTTTGCTCAGACATTTTTATTTGATTTGCAAATTAATTTTTTTAAAAAAAAAATTTATTTCCAATTTTATTAAAAAAATTCTGAATTATATCATTGAATTACGTCCTCTTGCA